TTTAGGGGTAAAGGGGTCTTATGGACACTCAGGAAATTATATCATTAATTATGCCTGTCAGGATGTTATGTAGCCCAAAGTAATTGAAAATTCTTAGGGTTGATTCTCTTGTTTGTTTTGCTTCCCATTTTCCAACTGTTTTTAAAAGATTGTTCCTAGGTTTCCAGAGACTCTAAGCATTTGGTTAATGAAGAGAGTAAATTATTTTTGTCGGGAATAATTCAACAAAGCAACTGCAGAGGCTCTCTCTCTGTAGTTGACTTTGAATCTTGTTAATTGATGGCTTGCTTAAAGGAGAATTTACTTTCCCAGAGTGTGTGTGTTCCTTAACCTAATATTAATGTCAATTTGAATTCCTGAGCCATGGGGGAAGAGAGGGTGATATGGGAGGGAACTGGGATTTGGGATGCAGATAGGCATTACTCACTTACACCGAGAGACAGGATTATACATCTGGAGTGCCATCTCCTGATGCTGAAACCCCTGGCTATTCAGATAATAGAGTTCGGCCAGCTCTAGGCTACATCAACCAGCAGGTAACCCTCATGGGTGAATGAAGAAAATGGCATTCTGGTTTTGAGTCATATTCTATCTGATTGTTCCAGATCCCATGTCTCTTTTGACCTCTTTGGGTGGGAGAATCATTCTCACATCTTTGGAAGATAAACTCTACCATAAGCACCTCTACTATGCGTCCAACCAGATAGAACTGGCTTTCAGGAAACCCCAAGAGAAGCAGCCACTTAAAGGATATAGAAAAGAGATAGGGTTCTGACTGGCTGGGAAAAGAGAAAAAACATAGACATTTAATCCAGTGAGATAGTCCTAAAGGCTCAGCAGGGCTATTTCCTCCTCATTGCTCAGGTTGCCATCTATGGTCACTGCCACGCTTATTCCAGGAAAAAAGATCCAGAAGTATTTCCATATGGAAGGAGAAAGAGCCTTTAGAACAGTAGTGGCTTCAAAGAATGGAAGAGATTCTGACCCACACTGCAGGTGGGAATATAAATTAATACAAACTTCCTGGAAACCTACTTGGCATAATGTTAAGAAATGAATAAAAACGTTCACACAATCTAAATCAGTAACTTACCTTAAGGAAATAATCAGAGATGGGGATATAGATTTATGTTCAGGAATGTTTATTACTACATTATCACACACACACACACACACACACACACACACACACACACACACACACACACAAATACATACACACATGCTTCAGGAACAAACTAGATATAGACAACAGAAGATTGCCTAAATAGATTCTAATATATACCATGGAATTTGAAAGGGTTGTTAAAAGTCATGTTTTGGAAAATAGTTAATGGCATGGGAAAAATATCCATGTTGCTTGACCAAACTGGGGGACTGTGGTTGTTTTTATTTTCTTTTGTATAATTATCTGTGTTTTCCAAATTTTGATAATGAGCAAGAATTACTTATAAGCACAGAAAAAGATATCACTGAAGAACAAAAAGAAAGAATATTGTTCCCATGCTTCAGTCCAACAATGATTTGAGCTTCATGTTCTTCTCCAGGAGGAACGCGGGATGCTCTGATGTTTGGAAGATGTGCACTAGACATCTACACCGAAACTGACATTGATGTGATGTCCTAGTTCCTTTTCTCTGCAGTCTCCCTGAAAGGAACCCGGGAGAGCATCCTATGGATGCTACTGATGGGTAGCCTCAGATGAACAATCCAAAACTGGTGTGGAGATGGGTGCCTTTATAGCAAATGTCAAGAGGATGCTTCATTTCTTGAGGTCTTTAAGGGTTGCCTAGCAAGGTCACATCCCATTGACGGTGGCCTTAGTCTGAAAGGCAGAACACTAGTTATTAAACAGAGCCAACTGCCCCTCAGCACTGGCCGCCAGTGTAATTGGTGTCTCGCTTTCCCATGCCCTTGTTCCAGGAAATGATTTGGTTGTGTTTGGAGTTTCTGTAAACGGCAGTCACCCTGCTAGAGAAGGTCCATGTCCACTTCCCCCTTACTAAAGTCAGTATGTATTTATCACAAGATAATTCTCCCCCTTCTACCCTCTGGGTTTATACTAGGCCATGTCAGTCACATCACAGGGGGCATGTGGAAGAAGATAAAACTTCCTAAACATGAGAAAAGTTCTGTTGTTAGCCAAATCCCAGGCCCACTTTGCCAGACATTTTTCTCTGAAATTTTCAAGGCCACGTGTTCGAACTGGAAATTTAATACACATGTTTCTGATTCATATGTACACTCAATGCATCAAAATATCATCTCTTTGAAGTCCAAATGGCCTTTTTATAGACTTCTTCCCTAGGAATGGAAACTTGTGCTTAGCCAAGAACTAACAAATTCGAACCCTCCAAAGACAGAGTTCCTTTCAAGGTTCCCAACTTCAGGAGATTGAACTAGACTTTGAAACAAACCCTCCACTCCCCCCAGTTACCACAACATGATCATAAATTTCAAGGCGCTTCACCGTACTGTGCCTTCTTGGTCTTATTCCCATGCATTCATGAAGTCTCCCAGTAGAAGCCAAGTGCTGAAGAGTTGTCTTCCAGGGAATTACCACAACAATGTGGTGAGAAAGACTGATCAGAAGAAGGGAGTCCCCTCCTCTCAGGAACCTGAGAAGAAAATCAAGTGATTGGCCAGATGTGAGAGTGTGGAGACAGAGCCAACTCGAGACCCAGGATGGGATTCCAGCTCTCCTCAGGAACCCTGACAGTAAAACATCAGAACTTCCGTGAATCTATTCCCAAATGGTACACTGTAGACGGGGCTCCAGACCTCCTCTCAATAGATACAATTCTAAGTCCATGTCACCTCTTCAAATCTCCTTTCTGAAGACAATTGGAAACATAAATCAATGCTGTCAAAACTGGAAGTTGGGGAAGAGGATTGGGAAAGATAAGAGAACATTATCCATTTCATGCAATGTTTCCATTGCTAAGTCCTGCCCGCCAGCTGGGCTCCAGAGCCCTGGGCCAGGGAAGGGAGGGGGTGTCTGAGCTAAGCAGACAGGGTCCTCTCTTTGCCTCTAAACTCTTCTATGAGCTGTAGATCCACCACGATGCTTGGCATTTAGTAATCAGCAGTCTTCTATTGACTCAACTGAATGTGTTTATCTAAATAAAATGTAATGGACTACTCTATTTTTCCTTTGAAAATCCCTCCTTTGTCTTTTCATTCACTTATACTTACAACATTTGACTGGAGACTAGCTAGGAGCACCAGCTCCCCAATGTATCCACCATTAAGCCACATTTAGTGAAAATAAATCAAATCTCTATCTTAAGCAATTGGCCTGCTCTCTGTCATTAATCACTTCAAGTGAGCAGATGAACAGTCATTTGCAAATGGGCATAAAATACAGGGACTGTGGCTGAAATTTCCCCTAAGCTTGCCTTGTAAAAATAATAACTGAAGATGTTTATCAGTTCAAAGATAAATGTACCTAAAACATATATACTCATGTCCATGTTAGAAAGGGAAAATTGTGGTTCGACATTCATCCTTTTTCAAATGGCTTCCTAAGGAATGCCACCAACCAAAACCATAATGGTCTTCCGTGGAACATGCAAAGTCAACATGGTGTGCAAGTTGATTTTTAGAGAATTGCTTATCAAAGCTTTGTCAACTCCAGAGCCATAAATAAGATTTCTTCACGATTCAGTTTCCTTGGTGGAATCTACATTTATAAATTGTTAGAAAGCTGACAAAGAGCAAGACCACCAATTCCTGTTCAAATAATGGCATTGCAGTAACAGCCATATGTTTCAGAGAAGCCGGTCACGTGCTACTTCTGTTATCCAGATGGGAAAACTGAAACAGGTGGCCTATTCCATAATGTGCCAGCAAGCCAGATTTAGATCCTGAAGGTCAGCATCTCCTGGCCATGGTTTAAACCTCTGAGTAGCATCACATCCCAAAGTTCTTCCTTCTTCTTCTTCTTCTTCTTCTTCTTCTTCTTCTTCTTCTTCTTCTTCTTCTTCTTCTTCTTCTTCTTCTTCTTCCCAAAGGACTGTGAGAGGCCTTAGGTACAGATGGTCTGGTTCTGTGGCTTTTCAAAAACTGTCCAGCAACCAATCCTTCCCATTCATTAAAATTCTATGCAAATATCCAGGGTGTCAAATCTATGATCCCAGGGATGATCTGGCTGAAGGTCAAGAGTCAGAGGACAGAAACCCCTTTTTCCATTTTATCCTGAATGGACTTAGACTGGCCAGAACACCTCAAAGCAGAGATTGAAAACCTGTGAAATAGTTTATTCCTCAAAAAATCCCCAGAGTTGGACGGTTTGTCTTGGGTCTTAGCTAATGAGAGAATCGGGCCTAAAGCTGGCTGTCTTCATTTTGTTGACGGCTACATCCAGTCCCCCACACCAAACCCCATTAGTAGAAGATTGTTTTCTGAATCAACAAACCCATCACTGCCACTCTGCAGACACCAGAGTCAAAAGTAAAATGATTAATGTGTGCAAGAACGAACTTCTTAGAACAAGAAGAAATCGTAAATAGAAGGTAGTAGAATAGTTTAGATCAAGAATTGGCAAACACTTTCCATAAACAGCCAGATAGTAAATAGTTTATGCTTTGCAAGCCATATGGTCTCTGTCGCAGTATTACAACCCTCACTGCAGCCAGAGACAACATGTAAGCGAACGAGCATGGCTGTGTTCCAATAAAACTTTATTCGTGGAGTCTGAAATGTGAATTTCATATAATTTTCACATGTCACAAAATATTATTCTCTTAATTCCTCCTTCCCAATTTAAAGATGTAATAAGCTGTTAGTATCTCAAAGGCTACAGAAACACAGGCAGATGTCTAGATTTGGCACACAGATGAAGTTTGTCAACCCCAGTGTAAAAGAAAAGTTTGCTTCACAAAACTTAACGCAGACGTGAATGGAATATGAAGGTTCTTTGAGAGACATTCTCAGAAGAGCTCAGACAATGTAGTCACTCTCTGGGCATTAGTATTCAAGAGCCAGAGGCTGAGCAAATCTCCACTGGGGCAGCAGCTGTGGCTCCTTGCCTCTGGTTGAGAACCTGTAGGATCTGCGCTCAGAGAGCTTGGTGAATATATGATGCACACGAAAGCAGAAAGGTCCTCGAGGAACCAGAACTCAAGGCTCCATATATCAGACGCTGACCATCGAAGACTGTAGCTCAGTTCACACTGCTTGAACAGCAAGCCTAGAATTCACTCACTTAGTTAAGTCAGAATCATTCATTCATTGGTGTGCCTCCAGGCAGGACATGTCCAACAGAGTACCATCTGCAGAGCTCTGGTGGAACCAGACTGAGGCCCTAACCTGAGCTCACAGGTAAGTTGCAGAGAAGGGATTCAAGCTCAGGCATGTTTTGGTACTAGACAGCTTGGAGTTTTCCTTTTAAAATTGCCACATTGGGTTCTTCAAAAGGGGATGACTCATAACATTCATAAAAGAGGGAAAAGAGAAAAGTAAAATCTTTCTATATTCGATTATTTTTTTAGAAAAATGAAAGGTTGGTTTACCTCTAAGGTATTTACATTCAATAGGTAGTATTTTAATAGCTTTGTTTTGTTTTTGTTTAAGGAACCTAAAGAGAACAGGCTTTAAGCCCCAAGTCTTGCAAATCATCTGCAGGTAAGTCATTTCACTTTTCCTAACCTCAGTCTTTTCATATATGAAGTAGATATACTAGCACCTAACTTTATAGAAAGAAAGAAATACAGTATCACTAAGCCTCGATCACAGCGTCTAACAAATTCAAGAATGGCCATGACGGTAGGTGGTAATGTGCAGCTGACCTTAAAAATGTGATTTTTATCTTTATCACAGAGATATTTGTACATCATGTTCATTGTGACTCTGTTCACAAGAGTTAGGAAGTGTCCACCAACTGATAAGTGAATAATGAAAATGTGGTACATATGTACAATGGAATTTTATTCAACTGTAAGGAAAAATGAAATGAAATTTATGGGGGAAAATGGACAGAACTGGAAAATATCATACTAAGTGAGACAACCCAGGCTTATCAAGATAAACCACATGTCCTCTCTCACGTGTGGATCCTAGCTTTGAATTTTTACATTTGTGAGTTTAATTCAGAGTCTGAAGAGGTCAGGAAGAGGGACCAAGAGCATGATAAAATGGGAGGGGAAGAGGCCTTAAGGTGTGTGTGTGCTGGGGGGAGGGGAATACTAGAACACATGCGGTATGAAAGTACCGGGTGGGGGGCTGGGGGGGGGGATGGCAGAGGTCAACGCTTAACTGGTCAAAGTGCTGAGAACAATTAGCTGTTGAGTACTCAGCCCTAAATGGGACAACAATATCTGCGAGGATGAGGAAATATCACAGGAGAAAGGGAGAAAAGAATGTAAGACAAGGAAAATGGAAAGAATATTATGAAATGTTACCTTAGTCATGGCATGGCCATTGTACTCATGAATTCACAACAACTCTAGTTACTTGCACAAATCCTGCACAAGATCAAGCCAGTTAATAATTCCAACATGGCTGGAAGAGGGGTCTATGGGACTCCGCCACTAGCTGCAGAACTCTTGACAATTGACGGCCACTGGTGGAGGTGGAGTCATTTTTCTTTGAAGATGTGGTCACTGGTAGGTTGCCCAGGTGCACGTTAGCAGCACTAGTTGGACCCAGTGACTTAGAAAAAAGAAAAAGGAAAGAGGACAGGAAGGCGGGAGGGACATGTGTTAGGGAAGGTAAGATCCTGGGGAGGTGAGAGGGGAAAGTTAGGGGTACATGTGATCAAGATATATTGTATATGTATAAAATTATCAAAGAAGAGATTTTAAAATATTTTTAAGCGTGATTTGTGTAACATTGAATCTCACAAATGTAACCATCTTTGCAGAAATGAATACAGTTTAAAGAGATAGTGTGCCCCTCCTATTGGCCGTTAGACTCTTGAACCAATGGTCCCCAGGTATAGGAATTTTCCTGAGAATCTCATACTAGGAAAAAGGAAAGCCTGGAGCCCTGACATCAGTCAGAAGAGGAACTTGTCTCCCAAGAGATTTCACACAGCCCTGACAGCTTGTCAGCTCACCTTGCAGGGTAGCCTGGAGCTGAGATGGTGCAAAGTGGGACCACACCTTGACAGGATTGGCTATGCATCCTTCCTGCTGTCTGTTTAAACCTAAACCCCACGCAAGGACCCCAAAGACAGACTTAGGGAGTCATTGGGCCTGTTTATTTGCTCCTCTTCCCAATGTGGCCACACTGAATAGATCTCCTTTCTCTGCTTTTCACTGTCACTTGTCTCTTTAATTGGTTTATTGGGGATGGATGGCCTAGCCTAGCTCCTTAGAGTTGCCAGAGCCAAGCTTTGATACTAAAAACAATGGTAACATAAACAAAAGTGGAAAAGTCCACCATGCAGAATGGCAGTCTTTTAATACAATGGGCTATGTTGGTAGAAGTTAGACTCTGAAGACTAGATTTGGCTGAAAGAATATTTACACAGAGCATGAGCACTCTGGATGGCTGGTCAGGGATGATCTATCTGCCAGTAATCAACGTCTTTGGGAAACAGGAAGAACTGTAAACATCACTGTGTGAGAAGCAGGGAGTGAGCTCGTCTGAAGACAAGCCGCAACTGCACAATTTCAAGATGACGTTTTATTTCATCTAAAAGAAATAATTGCACTTATTAAGGTAGTGTTCCCCAATGGATCCGGATCTTGAACCAAATTTCTATCTGTATAACAATTATAAGCAAGAACTGTTTGACTGGGGAAGCCAGAATCTTAAACCTGTTTCCAAACTGTGTCCTAACCCCAACAAAAGGATTTAGGTACTGACACCATCAACGCCATTGAAATCAAATGTTTATTCTTATGATGACTGTGTATATTCATGAGTTCTATTTTTTCTTCTCTTTTTATAGTTATAGATCAAGTGTGTGTGTGTGTGTGTGTGTGTGTGTGTGTGTGTGTGTGTGTGTGTGTATACGTTGTTGTTGTGTAGGTTATAGGAAAACAACTAGGGCTAGCCTCGCCTTCCTTAAAATAACAGAACAGGTTATTTTGACTGATGTTGATTTGATTGATGGAGTCAATAAAATACATCAAAATCACTCACTCTGATTTACTTCACCCTGGGGGTATTAGTAGGGAAGCAAATTCCCCAAACGAAAGCTACATTGCAACCTTACCCTGGCTCGGGCTTCGGTCCAGGCCGATTCAATAGACACACCTCTCTCCTATCAGAACCCTAAAGAGCTATTCATGTTTACAGATCACTGTAGATACAGCCTCATGAAGGCCCACAGCCAATCAGCCTTTTCTCGCCCTCCTATGAGAGGTGCAAAGCAACGTTCTACCACTGGTGTGAGTGCAGAGGTGGATGTACAAAGCTGATTTACACGGGGTGGGGTGGGGACGCTTTAAAAATGTGGTTCTCTTATTCTTAAGTCTTTCTATTGAACATTATATCCAACATCAAAAAAGACACAGCCTGCCTATCCTCTGTGTGTCTTTTCATGTCGAGCAATCCTAATATTTTGAGAAATAAACACTTCCGTCAATAGGCCTGCTGGGAACTGCGGAGTCAAAAAAAAAAAAATTTCTATCATCTCTTAAGTTTGTTTAGGTGTTGGCTGTTTTATGGAATTCCTATCATGTGGCATGACATTAACACATGCAAGTAGAGAAATCAACCTTAGGCCTGCGAGAGATGATTGACACAATTAACCTTAAAAAGATAAACGTAGGGAAAGGAGCACCACACAGAATGGGTGTGACCCGAGTGAAGCCACGTGATTAACTTAGAGAAGACATCCCAGCGAATATGTGGCAGAGCCCAGGTTTAAAGCTAGGATGGTCCTGCCCCCAAGCCCATGCTGTTTCTACAGCACCATAACAGTTTTCCAAAGGCAGAGCCATGAATGCCTGCCAATGCTGTCACACAAGCACATGACCTATAGACAGGATAGTGTCTACAAAGAGTCCTAAAGCATGGCATCACAAAAATGGAGGACGGAACACTAAATGTGAATCGTTCCAATAGAAAAACAAGACCAGAAAGTCGAAAGTCCCCTGAAGTCCATGTCAAAGACAGCAATGGATGAGTCCCTGGAGCCTGGGGTCCAACACGGCTCTGTCAAGCGCCACTTTCTGTAATCGTTCACAAATTTAACAGCCAACCTCAGCAATAATCTCTATGGCCTCATAAATCCAGGTCCACAAAATCAAGCAAATTTCACGATGTTCTGTGCCATTCCATATATTGAATTTCATCATCTGGTGAAGGTTGGGTTCTTCCCCAGGAATAATGGAAGCAATTTAACCACCTGCATTAGTGCTTTCAACTTCAAAATCAATTTTATTAGGTACACGCACTAGGCAGTGGCCAAGATTATGCATTTTGAATACCATTTGCTGATGGTTAAAGTGGAATCTACAGCAGGATTCGAGTATGGCCACTATCCCCTCCTAAACCCAGTGAAACATGATCACAACTGGACTCCTGCCTAGATTTGTTCCCCACACAGTGCCTCAGAGAGCACCTGTCAATCATTTGGAACTGGTACTTGTGCTAAAACCAAGCAGCAAACTCCAACCTACAGTCTTCAGCTAGCAGGACAGGCCACAGAGACTTCGCACAGAACTTCTGTCCCTACCCCTTGTCCCTACCAAAGGTTTTCTGAAAACCTGCCAGAAAATGACTTAGGCTCTAGAAGGAAGAGAGCTTACCCTCCGACCTCAACACTTCAAACCTGACTTCACACCAGTTTAAAACACTTCATGGCACCTTTCCATTCATCCGGTGCTCTGCGTGTTCCTTTCTGTCCTGAATTCTGTCTTTAGCGCAGCCGACACATGCTGCGGGGACTCACAGCTGTCTCCAGAGAGGAGCCCTGTACTTTTTAAACAGCCTTGCTTTGTGACCTGACCTGCAGGCCGGCTGCATACTTCGGTGTTCTGACAGCTAGTCATGTCTTTTGTCCCAGGCACACGGATACGGCAGGGTAGGGAAAGTTCACACTGAGCGCTCACATTTCAAAATGTAAATAGATGGCTCAGTCCGGAGGCCCAGTGCACTTAAGCTGGGAAGACAAAACCTCCCCAAAAAAAGGAGAGGGGTCCAAAGAGGGCTTTTCAGAGACCCCTGCAGGACACAGGGGCTCTGGTAGCCACACCTGGAAGGCCAAATGAGGCAGCTCCACAAGGGACAGGGACCAGATGCCTCATGAGGAGGGGACATATGGTTTTCTTTATCCTCATTCCTTCCTGAGCTGTGGTCCCAGGTTTCTTTCTGCCTTACCTCTTTTCCCTCCTAAGCCCTGCTTCTCCCATCCCTACTTCACCTCTGTCTTCTTTTTTCACTCTCCTCTCCTCCGTGCTTCTTTTTCTTCCTCTTTTTTCTCATAGATGCAATCCAGCAGTTCCTGTTTTCCTTCTCTTTGGAACTCGGTTGCTTCCTTGCAGTTTTCCAAAAATGCTCATAACTGGTTCCATCCCTCGTGTCTAAGGCTCTTCATGGCAATCACCACCTTACTAATTCTACCTGCCTTTAGTGGGCTGTCTTCACAATCATCACACTCTGAACTTTACTAACACATGTAGATTTAGGGATGGGGTAGGCAGGGTTCTGAATTCCGTCACCCCTTAAATACCAACTACAAATGACTAGTGTGTTGTCTTCCTTTCCCTACAACTGTCTAATTTTTATTTTACTTTTTGATATTTTAACTCATTACATTTTCACGATTTTACAAGATGGGTAGTATGTGTTGGTTGTATAAAAGAATGTAACTAGAAAGATCACCTGCAATTCACCCTCCAGAGAATATTGCCGTTTGTGATTGACTTGATAAACGCCACTTCAAGAAAGGTGCTGTTCTTGATCTTACAGAGCCTACATCCAGTGAGGAAAAAAATCAATAAACAAATACAATATAGCATATTAAGAAAAGAACCATTAGATGGAAAATACCAGAAATAAATACCAAAGTTTGAATTGTATACTGTCTGGGGACATTGGGAGGAAGTCTACCACTGCCTTGCCCATCTAACAGGAAGTGTGAATCATCTCATTGTTTAGTGTATATACCTGTGTACGTTACTTACAAGTGGTAGTTGTCAACTTGACATAATCAAGAACCAACTGGGGTTAAAAGTGTCAATGAGAGACTGTCTAGTCAGGTTGGTCTGTGGGCATGTTTGTGAGTACCCTGATTATTTAATTCAGGAGGGAAGACTTGCCCACTGTGGGTGGTACCATTCCCTAGGTTGAGGGTCCTGAACTATGTAAAGTGAAGAAAGTGATTTGAATGCAAGCATATATACATTAATTCCTTCCTCTCTGATGTGGAGTGAGCAACAGCTTCAAGCTTTTGCAGCATTGTCTTCCCTCCACTGATGAATTGTATTCTGGAACTGTTGGTCAAATAAACGCTTTCTCCCTTGTGAGAAAGAGAGAGAGAGAGAGAGAGAGAGAGAGAGAGAGAGAGAGAGAGAGAGAGAAGGCCAATGATTTGTGCTTCTGGAAAATCTCCTGAAGAAAAATAACATCCTGAAAAACAAATAGAAATTGGCCAAAATACAAAATAGGGAAGGGGAAGACAAAAGACAACAATCCTAAAGACAGAGAGCTGGGCACATTCAGAGAAATAAAGGGACTCAATGTGACTGAAAGCTATAGACAACGTCAGTCAACAGACTTAGAGAGTAAGGGGACAGGCACTGGGCCTATGAGCCCCGTGACAATGTTTCCAGAGAGGTGATGTGAACAATGGAGGAAATTAAGGGATGGGAATGGCATGACCTACCTACACTTTGGGTAGACCAATGAGCCTAATGATGAAACTACAATGTCCAATAAACACTGCTTTTTAAAAGTCTCTCTCTTTTTCTCTCTCTCTCTCTCTCTCTCTCTCTCTCTCTCTCTCTCTCTCTCTGTGTGTGTGTGTGTGTGTGTGTGTGTGAATACAGGTATGTGTATGCTGTAGCACAAGCAGAAGTCAAAGGACGACTTTGAGTGTCAGTCTTCACCGTCTACAGTGCCTGAGACAGGGTCTCTTCATTGTTTACCACTACATTTTCCAGGTGAGTTGGACCATGACCTTCCAGGAATTCTCCCATCTCATTTTAGGAGCACTGGCATTGCTGTCCTGTGCTGCTGAGCCTGGCTTTATGTGGCTCTCCCATCTCTGTAGGAGCACTGGGGCTACTGTCCTATGCTACCATGTCTGGCTTGGTGCAGCTTCTGGGGATTCAAACTCAGGTCCTCATGCTTGCCCAGCAAGCTTCTACTCATCCCAAGCACCACTTTTACACAGAACTTTCAGCTTAGAAAACAGAAGAAGGGGAAAGGGAGGGAGGGAGGGATGAGTAAGAGAGAGAATTGAGGGAAGTTACTTGGTTCCCAGTTGTGACCAAATCCCTGACAAGAAGCAACACAGCAGAAAGGATTTATTTGGCTCACGGTTTCCAGGGGGGAAAGTCCATCATGCCAGGGGAGTTAGAAGGCTTGCAGCTACAGCAGCAGGAACCTGCTTGTGTCTGGGCCAATCAGGAAGCAGAGAGGGGAAAAGAGAGGAGAGAATGTCTATGCTCAGCTCCTTTCTCTTTTATGCATTTTCACTCAGTCTGAGACCCCCAGTCTATGTGACACACAACTGTACTTCAATGTAATAACAAAAACAAAAACAAACAAACAAAAAACCTGCATCTGGTGTCCCATGTCTGTAATCTCATCAATAAGGAAGCGAAGGCAAGAGTTCGAGGCTAGCCTGAACCACATAGAGAGTATCACAAATAGTGAGACCCCATCTCAGTGTGGTTGATGGGGCTGGCAAAATGGTTCAGGGGGTAAAAATGGTTGTCATGCATGTCTGACAACCTGAGTCCAATCCCTAGAACTCACAGTGGTGTCCTCTGATCTCCACATTCTCTCTCTCTCTCTCTCTCTCTCTCTCTCTCTCTCTCTCTCTCTCTCTCTCTCTCTCCCCACACACACGGAAGACAGACATGCAATTAACAATAAATAAGGATTTTAAATTTTTATAAAAGAAAAAAAAAACACTGGATCCAAATGACTAAATTAGATTCCCAGTTGTGAGTGCCTTACAACCTGCTGTTTGAAATTCAATACACCAGCCACGAAAAACACCCAGGGGATACCTACCATGACATATTGAAACATTTGAATTTCATTTATAACAATAAAGTAAAAAGCTCAAAAGTCTCCTTTTTGCACTATTTAGACACCACCAAAATACAAAGAATTCAGAAAACAATGAAACTGCTAAAAAGGATATGTTGTGTACTCTGACTTGATTTTTAATAACTTTACAGCTGCTTTCAATTCAAATTTTTTATTGAATCTTCTGTATTAATCTATACTTTGCTGCCAATCATTTTGTGAAGAAATGCACAATTTTGAATGTGCTTGTCTATTTTTTTTCCCACATAGTGTGCGAGCAACAGTTCCTTCTTACGGAAATAGCCAGGAGCTGGTGGGAAACATGTAACCAAAACTCCTTTTTCTGGCTGAATCTTTCCAACTGGCCTTCCCCATGCTCTTTGGGACACTCATGACAATGTGTTCTCAAAATCTCCAAGCCCCACAAGAAGGCTCTGGAGGCAAGAGAGGTACTATCCAAGTAGGGCTGACTACAATCAACATTTACTCATTCATAAATTGGTCGGGTGCTTGGCTTGTGAAGTCAGCCACATGCATTTCTATTCATTGTTGTTATCTTTCTCAAGCAAAGGGTAGTTTCTAAGTTTTCTTGCATCTGAGTTTTGTTTTCTGAACAGCAGATTGTTATATATAAGGCAGATGTCTTCCAGCACATTTCTTGGCTGATATATTTTCTCCGTGATTCCATGAGAGTTTTCTTCACATTCTACAAAGTGGTAGGATCTCCAAAGGAAGACAGTCTAGGCAGCTCAGAAAAGCATTTTCTATTTTTGTGGGATTAGAAGTATCCATCTACCATGGGCCACAGATGCCATGGCTTGGCTTGAGTCCCCTGAATGCATCGCTGGGGAACAGATAAAGGTCTTAGGAGCTTTGTGGTCTTTTCTGAAACTTAGATTGCATCAGTTTCAAAGAATGTCTGACTTCGTCTGGCTGTCCAGAATATCTGCCTAAGTCCCCTTCACTCTTCACATCTGTCTAAACAAGGGCAGAGGGCATGTTGAGTATGATGCAAAGCCAAGAGATAGTATATGGCTCGGGGTGAAAACTCAGAGTCCAAGCAAGAATGACTCCAGACGAACTCAACCTGCTCTCTACAACAGCAGAATTTAAATGTTCTGTCTGCTAAAAGTACATTTGAAAGATGAAATCTTTCCATATGGCTTCATTTTCTTCTATATAAAAGGGTTAGACTAAATTCTGATTTTTGAAAAACACAGCGCTTCGTGTACATAGTGCTGAGACTTGCACTGAACTCATCTGGAAAAAATACAAGCTACTATAACAAACGCCAAATGCCAGAAGTAGCCAGTCTCAGTCTAGTGAAAAGCACAGAAGGGGAAATTTGCTCTGTATAGGTGACAGCAAATAGAGAAAAATCAAATACATCACACCCGAAGTGAACACTGGGAAATTCTAAAATGCATTTTTTATAATTAAAAAAAACTCAGAATCTTCACATGGACCTATTATAGAAGCTTACAGCTGATAGTGATATTACTCAAACTAGACTATGCGTTTATATTAGCTATTTCAATTTAATTCTTGAGAGAAAGAAACTATTGTCCGGGGAAAAGCACACTGTAACACAAAGCTTTGAATCTCAAGTGGAGAGAATCAGCAAAACACACACACACACACACACACACACACACACACACACACACACACACACACACAAATTTAGTGCTGGAGGCTCAAAAACCCACCTTTTATGAGTATATTATAGCAAATGTGTATAGGACGATACTTTCTTTTGGAATACTATACAGCTGCAAACAAAAGTCACATTTCTGTTGGTTGTTTGTCAAATGGCCATATTGTTATACAGGTGAGAGTCTGGTAGGGTCTGGACACCACCAGGAAAAGAGACAGATGAAATAAGAGGGTCAAACCTGTAGCATGAATCTTAAAGAGTCTTATTAATAAAATCAAACCTGAGGCCAATTATTGGGGTGAACACTGGAAGATCAGAGAAGCAGAACAAGCCACAGCTTCCTCACCTCACCAATTCCTCAGCTGGTCCTGTTTCCTCAGACTGGAAGCCTCTCAGTCCTCATCCCAATGGCTCTCAGCTGAACTGCTTCTTGAAAGCCTGAAAGCTTAACCAGCCAAAAGCTTCTAGTTTCTGGTCTTCACACCTTATAAACCTTTCTGCTTTCTGCCATCACTCCCTGGAATTAAAGGCTCACTTTCTGGGATTAAAGGCGTGAGTCACCATGCTTGGCTGTATCCTTGAACAGATGGATTTCTGCCTCTGGAATGCTAGGATTAAAGGTGTGAGTGCCACCATTTTCTAGCCTATGTATCTAGTGGCTGTTCTGTTCTCTGACCCCAGATAAGTTTATTAGGGTGTACAATATTTTGGGGAACACAGTATCACTACACAAACACCTCTCCTATTTTTGGTAGAGTAAATCCAACGTAAGAGAAAAAGAGAACTATTTCTGAGATCAAAGTTAGTATGTTCTAATACAAAGGAACGTATACTCTCTTTTTGTTGTTGGGGTTTGTTGTTACTGTTGTTTTGTTTTGAGTTTTTTGTTGTTGTTTTGGTTTTTTTTGTTTTTGTTTTTTTGTTTTTGTTTTTGTTTTTCCACACAGGGTTTCTCTGTATAACAGCCCTGGTTGTCCTGGAACTCACAGAGATCTGCCCCTGCCCCTGCCCCTGCCCCTGCCCCTGCCCCTGCCCCTGGCCCTGCACCTGCCCCTGCCCCTGCCTCCTGAGTGCTGAGATTGAAGGCATGAGCCACCACACCAGGCTTGGTGTTGGTTTTTTATTGTTGTCTTGTTTTGTTTGGGGTTGTTTTTAATTTTCTGTTTTGAGATAGGATCTCCTATGCCCAGGCTTCCCTTGAACTCTGTGTAGCCAAGTCTGACCTTGAACTACTGATTCTCCTGTCTCACCTCCCTGGTGCTGGGATTGTAGGTGTGCACAACCACACCCAGGTTATGAAGTACTGGGGATCCAACTCAAGGCTTTATGTACACTAGGCAAGCAATTTACCAATTGCCCTACACTCCTAGGCCCCTTCTTACTGTAGTGTGTGTGTGTGTACATGTGTGTGGGCATATATATGAGTATGGAGGCCAAAGCACAACCTTGGGATCATTCTTCAGGTTTTATCTCCTTTTTTTTTTTTTTTTATTTTGAGACAGTCTTTCCCTAGCCTAGAACTTGCCAGGTAGACCAGGCTGATTGACCAGCAAGAGCTTAGGTCCCCCCCACTCCCAGTGCTGGGATGACAAGTGCATACCTCTAGGCCTGGCTGTTTTTAACACGTGTTCTGAAGATGTGCAAGCATTTCATTGACAGAGCCATCTCTGTATACCCACCCCCTTTCTTTAATGTGTTCTCTCTCTCTCTCTCTCTCTCTCTCTCTCTCTCTCTCTCTCTCTCTCTCCCCTCTCTCTGTTCAGGTCAGAACTTTATTTTGGTTGTAACATAAAGAAACATTTCACAGAGAACCTGAATTGCTCCAGGCTTTAGAAAACACTTCATGGACTAATGAGCATAATTCCCCTGTCTCAGCTCTTTCAGATAGCAAACTTGTTCTATTTCCTTCCATGTGCCACCAGATTCCACCCCCTTCCCCTGCCACTATTTCTCCCACTTTGTTTTGTCTTTCCCTTCAGTAAACTCAACACCCCGGTAATTCAATCTCTACTCAATGTCATGGTTGAATCAAATGACTGTCACTCAAAATATAAGCCACAGCTTGAACTACAGCATGGTTGAGTGATCAGGGCAAATATCCACAAATCTGGAATTTCTGGGGCTTTAGCCATGGAACTGTTAAGTGGCTTTATATAAGATCTCCACCTCCAGGGAACAGGTCAAATCCTGTTTGTACTGACTGGGACCAGGCAGGGGGAGACCCTGGGGAGAAACCCTCCACCT